ATGACAAAGGGTTATTAGCACGTTATTACTTTAGGAATAATTATAACATTTGAGGAAATTAATTTTGAAATTTAAAAAAAAAATCAACTATCGTGCTACGCAAGCGAATCCGCGATTATAACAAGGTATTAATTAAATTAAAAATTAACTAAAGCTAGTAGATATGGTATGATATTATTAAATTAAATTATTGAATGTTAATATCACACTACGCATGCGAGTCTACACGTTTATGTAAGATTTGTGGGGTGGGATAGTCGGATTTGTCACGAATTTGGGAAAGAACAAAGAAATATTAGGGCGGCTAAGGTTTCGGTTAGGGTTAGATCTACTGATATTGGGGGAGATTTGGAGGATATGAGGCTTGGATCATGGAGAGGGGGTTGAGAGGAAAAAATGGTAAAATCTTGGGGTGGTTTGGACGACGGCTGCCGCCGGTGGGCGATTTCCGGCGGCGGAGCAGGGCTTCGAACGGCGAGGTCTAGAGGGAGAGGGGGGAGAGTGAAAAGAGAGGAAGAAGAGAGGAAATAAGGGAAAAATAGGGGCAATTTTCTAGGATTCTAAGCTTTAAATACCTAGGGAGGGGATTGAACTAGAGCCGTTTGATCATGAGGAAATGAGTGTGTGAGATTGAGTCTTGGTTTCACTTAATGAAATGACGTAGTTTCGATGAAACTACGCTGTTTTGAACCAAGTCTTGGCCAACCATCAATTGGACTGGGTCGGCCGAATTGGAGTCAAAAATTGGGTCTGATTTGTGCATAACTCAACTAAAATGGGCATTAATCCAATCCCTTAAACCCTTTAACAGATTAATTAATAATCTAATGCTAAAGTCTATAAACATACACAATAAACCTAGAAAAATATAATGTAGGAGAAATAGAAAAAGCAAAAATTAGATATTTACAAATATGATGATGATATGATGATTGAATATATCTTTGTTGGAATTTTTACTGAAATCCTCAACTACAACCACCCACCCACCTCAATTACCACCACCAACCACGTCCCCAACCGCCATCATCAGCCATAATCACTACCATCCACTATTATAATCATAGCTATTACTACCAATCACCACTAGAAACTACCTAAAATTACCACCATCAACCAATACCCTAAATTAAGGTCGTAGTGACACTTAAGCAGTAAAAAAAATAATGCAGCCTTTTAAAATCACATATATGTGTGTATATATATATATATATATATATATATATATATATAGATATATATATATATATATATATAGAGAGAGAGAGAGAGAGAGAGA